ACAGCAGGCCAAGAGGTATCACGTTGGACGCAGCTGCCATCAGACCCAGCAGTCTCTGAAACTGCTTGACAGTGAGTGACCGGCCTTCTCTGACTCTCGCGACTGCGGTGAGGATCGACTCGATCCAAGCAGGGGACATACGTGCCTGCATCGTGGTCGAATCCCACACCACACCTAGATAAGTGGTCCTCGATGTTGAACCACCGCCTGCTCTGATTGAGATAAAATCAACCAATCTTCGATATAGTTCAGTATGCGGATGCCCCGGAGTCGCAGCGGAGCCAGAGCTGCATCCACACACTTCGTGAAAGTGCGGGGTGAGAGTGCAAGGCAGAAGGGAAGAACCAGATATTGGTATGCTCTTCCCCCAAAAGCAAACCTCAGGAACTTCCTGTGAGTGGGAAGGATGGATACATGGAAGTATGCGTCTTTTAGATCGGTCGTGACAAACCAGTCCTCGGACCTGATCTAAGACACGACCTGTTTGAATGTGAGCATCCTGAACTTCAGTCGCATGACTGAGCGGTTCAACTGACGCAGATCTAAAATGGGACGCAATCCTCCATCCTTCTTTGGAACTATGAAGTACCAGCTGTAGAACCCGGACTCTCTTTATGCGGTGTAGCCCGCTCCACCCCAGAGGGGCCTGCCCTCGTAAGTCCTGGGCCATTGGTGTCAGGACTTCTTGGCCGAGGACCTCTTAGTCTTAAGTACGGTCCACAGATCCGGCTTAGACTTTGAGGCCCCCGACGCTCTGTTTTTGTGCCTCCCTGTATGAGGGGCTGGTACTCGGAGGGGGCTGCTCCCGCCTGGCAGCCCCCAGAGCTAGAGAGCGGCGAGGGAGGAACAATTGGAACGCCGCCGCCTGTTTACGAGCCTCCTGGTACCTGTTGACGACAGAATTGACGGCGTCGCCGAACAGGCCAGAAGGCGCAAGCGGGGCGTCCATGAGGTAGACCCTGTCCTTCTCTTTCATATCTGACAGTTTCACCGCACGTGCTTTTAAGCTTTCTGGTCGCTACGTCACCCCGCCCGTGACGTCTCGCCCATCCATTGGACTGATTACACACGTGATACAGAGTTGGTCACGCTGAAGGCGTTCCCAAAGCGTTCTCCGACGCAGCTCGAGTTCCTGAAGAGGAACCAGCATACATCAGCAGAGGGAAGATCCAGTTCTGACATTCTGATTAAACATTACGAGCTCAAATCACTTTTCAAAAACTCAACTTGCATGGATGAATTGTTCCCAAGATCAATGCATTTAGAAAACTAATAGGGTGAATTAATTTCATGCCGACTTTGGAGCAGTAATATCATAGCTGAAATCCTCCTGAATAACATCAAGTTCTGCCTTATGTTATTTCCCACTCAATATTCTTTTTCACTTTCACAGACGTTAAATGCTGTGACTCATGCATGTCAAAACTGATCATGTTTTTCTACCTGTTGTTTCCCTGTACGGGCGGCAGCTGCATGTAGCTCTGAAGGGTCTGTGGATCGGATGGGATCTGCAGGGCGTTTGTCTGGTTCAGGGTGAACACTTGCACATTGACAGAAGACAAAACAGAGAATCATCACTCTTGAGTCAAACAGTGGTAAGATTAGATGCCATTAGCCATCACTGCAATGAAAACTAACCAAATAACCAAAATATGCTGAAAGCTTCTTATGGCCTGTTTACATAGAATGCATCTTTGCATTACACTGCGCTGCTTTTCCAATGTTTTTCTATGTAAACATGCACTAGACGGATGCATTTGCATCTTTTACAGCATCTAAAATCACTGTTAGTTAATAGAATTTAATAATAATAATAAAAACGCATGTCTAGACAAGATACAAGTGAATAGGGTAAAAAATTAACTAATAGATATCACCATACTTCCCCAATTTAAGGATTGCAAACATTTTTGTATCAGAAGAAATGTTGTTTAAATATGCAAATGAGGCAATATTTAATTAAATATGCATTAATTTGCATACATTTCCAGAATGTAAACTGAATATGGTATCAATCCAGATTAAAAAATCTTGTTTGATTTTGTTGACATATTAGAGTTTTTCCAAAGGGGATTTCTCGTGAATAGGGTAAAAAATTAACTAATAGATATCACCATACTTCCCCAATTTAAGGATTGCAAACATTTTTGTATCAGAAGAAATGTTGTTTAAATATGCAAATGAGGCAATATTTAATTAAATATGCATTAATTTGCATACATTTCCAGAATGTAAAGTGAATATGGGATCAATCCAGATTCAAAAATCTTGTTTGATTTTGTTGACATATTAGAGTTTTTCCAAAGGGGATTTCTTTCTTTATCACTCCATAAATCAGAAAATTCTGTCAACAGACAGAAAACATACATTTTCACCATTTATTAGGAGTAAAATGTTTAATCAGTGTGAATGATGCATGAACAAACCCCTTAGTAAAAGCCTCCAAAATATACACCGCAAAAATGATTTTCTTACTTAGTACTTTGGTCTTGTTTTCTAGTATAACTATCTAAGCATTCTTGAATCAAGATGCATTTACTGTACAAGTGAAATTATTTAAGATATTAAGTTTTTTTTTTTTTTAAATATCAAAATTTTGTTAGTTTTTGCTTAAAACAAGCACAAATATCTGCTAATGGGGCAAGAAAAATAATCTTAATTTAAAGTCTAAACAAGATGATTTTTCTTGCTCCATTGGCAGATATTTTTGCTTGTTTTAAGCAAAAACTAACAAAATTTTATTTAATTAAAAAAAAAAAAAAAAACAAGATATAATATCTTGTCATTTTACTTGTACAGTAAATTCATCTTGATTCAAGAAGTTCTAGATATTTATACTAGAAAACAAGACAAAAATACTAAGTAAGAGAATCATTTTTTGCAGTGTAGATAGGAATAAAACTGTAAAGTTTGGTTAATGTAAGAGAAAGAACTCTTTAAAGACATGCATTGGAACTGAAATACTGACACAAATATATAAAGTCCAATAAAATAAATACTCAAAAGTGTATTTAGGATGTTTTCTTTCCACTAGTCTGAAAGATGACACATGATATGCAAGAAAAATGTTTCAGCCCCTTACACTGTTATTCTAATTGATATAAGTGTTAATTAGTGTTTGGTACCAGTGTAGAGATCGTTAGTGGGCGACTGGCGCTTGGTCTCAATCAGGTCCAGTGGTGCGAGGCTGTGAACCGTCAAACACTCAGTGAGTCCGTCCTGACTGAGATCTGTGCTGCGTCTCAACTATCAAACACAGTCACAAATCAACATGGCACGCTTTCGCAACAAAACTTAAATGCATTATAAAAATAGTATTAATGCATTAATTATGCCTTATAATGCACTGTATTATCACATACACTCCCAGTCAAAAGTTTTTGAACAGTAAGATTTTTAATGTTTTATAAAGAAGTCTCTTCTGCTCACCAAGCCTGCATTTATTTGATCCAAAATACACCAAAAACAGTAATATTGTGAAATATTTTTACTATTTCAAATAAATGCTTTCTATTTTAATATATTTTAAAATGCAATTTATTTCTGTGATCAAATATATATATATATATATATATATATAAATAATGCATTTTAACTTTGGTTACAATTATTTTTGAAATGATATAATGCATTAAAACATACATTATGAATACCTTTATAAAGCATTATACATAAATGCTTTAAATGTTAGCTATTTTTATCAATGAGAAACTGATTGGACTGTAAAAAGTGGCCATAAAGTACAGCGTAAAAAAATGATTATTTTTGAAGTTGTAAATAGATTATTAGAGTACATTTTACAAGAAAATACTATTTCAGTCTTTCTACCTAAAAATCTTACATTTAATTCTGTGTTACTCGCCCTTTCCATGTTTTTATGTTTATGAAATTTAAATGCAATTTTCTAAACAAATCCTGTTTTTTGTGCTCCAGGTAGGATATAGAACTGAAAGTAAATTCTATGCTAAAACTAAAGGTGTGAATATCTATTTCGCAGCTTAGATTATTTAAGAAACAAATCATGAGAATCATATATTTGAAATGACATCTAATTCACAATAAGACCAAAAAAGCAAAAGCTGTCCAATTTGATTTCATGTTGACTTAAGGACTGCATTTACTTTCCAAATGATATTAAAGCAAATAGATGACAACAAGTGGAGATAATGTCTCGGATAATTGGCTCCTAATCTTTTGCTTAATTGAGCTGAATGTACAGTAATTAATCATGAGCATATGGTTTAATATCGCAGCGTTTGGAGCTCTCGACCTGCGTGATTATATTTAGCGTGTCTAAGAATACAGTATATTCTGAGTAATTCATAATAATCACAGGTGATTTTTTCTCTCCCAGAAACGTCTACCTGAGGAATCTGTATCTATGGTGACGTGACCTTTATTTGGTTCCTCCGTGATAATGAACGGCTCCAACACAAGCCTGCTAACAAGTTACAAGTTTAGAGGCTTCGTTATCAACACCCCTCTTGACAAATGCTATGCATTTTGTCGCAAACGCACAACTCTCTGTGTTCGTTCATTGTGAGACAATGCTTGTGTTGTACAATCATAGTTCACACAAAAACCTTCATGTCTTTCCAAACCTGAGACAAAAGCATCATTTTTAAAGTCTTTGTTTACATGTAAAAAATTCGAAAACTCCAAGAAGGACAGAAAATACCATTAAAAAAAGAGAGCCTACTGCTTGAAAGAAGTCTCTCGTGCTCACCAAGGCTGCATTTATTTGATCAAATATACAGTAAAAATAGCAAAATATTATTATGATTTAAAATCTCAAACAGCCATAAGATCAGATATCAGATCAGATGAATGTGTAATAAGACATATTTGCTTTGAACTATTTTTATTGTAATATCAGATTATTTGGACGGTTCCCCAACAGACAAACTGACTATAAAGTAACTTTGCAAGTATGTCAACATTCTACCAAAACTAACCTTAACCTAAGCCTACTAATACTCTAATGAGAGTTAGTTGACATGTAGTTGCAAA